ATTTCGTCCCCTTGTACATGGAACAACAAATTTTCCGTCATGACTCCTAGTAAGTATGGGGATAAAGATCGACTTGAATATTGAGAGCTTAACTTTGAGACTGAGCTCTGCTTTAGTCACAATGGATTGGGCTAGTTCACGCAGAACGCCACTGGCTACTCCAATTCGCAGCTCAGTCTCTTCCTCAAATTTTCCATGATCAGTAACACGATCCCCAGGTACGAGAATTCTCCGCCTGCTTCATTACATCTCCATTTATCTGCAGAGCGCAGCGGACAGGAGAAGGAGAAAGCACTAGGCATTTTGTTTTGAATACGTCCAGGGGAATGCCAGCCATGTCCATCCTCCTCGACAGCGAACCTTTCCAGAGAACGCTGTAGATTAGATTCAGAAAATACGAAAAGAAACGAGGTCGTCCGTAAACAGCAACCTTCTCGTCTCGACATCTCCAGGAGGCTTGGAGGAGACCAGTGCCAACGCCGTTTACTTTGACGCAGCATCTGTTATCAGCATATAGTGATTGGATGCCCATAGCAACTGGCCATTGATCCCACATATTTGCAGGGACGCCCATAGCTTGTTTCATGTGATCCAATCGTAGTAGTTCAGGTCCACGAATCACATTTAAACCGGGTGAGTGAACTCGCATGATTTTTCAAAAATCCAATGTTTCAGGTGTTGGAATGAGGTTTTGAGGTTTTTTCAGGTTTTGAAATGTTTCAGCCTCACTTGAAGAAACACTTCACTTTCAGTCTCGTTATTTCTCGACATATCCTTTATAACATCTTTGGGGAGACTTTTCCCAGGAGGCTCGATAAGTTAACGTCCCAAAAGTTTGTTAATTTCTTATGGCCCTCTTCTTAAACAGAGGTGCTACAATAGCCGTTCTTCAGTCCATTCATATCCTCCCATAGCCATTGCAGTTTGACAGTCACGTGCTAGCCACAACATGCATTGTTCGATTAAAGTTTTAGGCATCTCAGGTTTAAACGTTTGTAGTCGACTGGGTCGTCTCTCCTGTTTCATCAAAATAATGTATGGCGTGACAGACCTGCAGTGAAATGCGGCAGTTAAATCGTTCTAATTAAATTTCCATACAATCATTCATTGAATGCTGACATCAGTTATTCGGGCTTTAGCTATTTCATT